AACAATCGAGTGATCGCGTCTTTTGCTTCAGTAGCGGGATCCGCCGAGCGGAAGCCGTTTATCACACGATGGTCAAGGACCGAATGCGGATACAAGAATATGAAAGCCGCCCTGTGGGCAGCGTCCAACTGCTGCTCCTGTGCCTCGTCGAGGCTATTGGTGATAATACCACTTCTCCCGGAAGTCAAGAGGTTGGAAACGGACATAGTGTCCGTAAGCTTCGAACAGAGCTCACATCGCGCCGTTGGAGCACCTCGCCTTCCTCATCTTCCCATCTGTTATAGGAGTATCTGACTCGTAGTCGACTAAATCCTACACGATGAAATACATCGCCCATGGCGGGCGCTGTCGAAGGCTTAGGATATGCTTCCTGTGAGGCCGCGGACCCACTGTCCGGAGTTGCACCGCGTGCAGGAGACGACGATGGGCTCTGTCTACGGGCGCTTTCGGAAACCAGCGAGACTGGGTGTTTTTCGTGTCAAAGACACAGTGCCCATTGAGCAGAGAGTGCGTTAAGGTGGTTATAGGGACGTCACGATGTCTCAGACACCAGAAAATCTTACGAGGCGACAGAAAATGTGAATTATGGGTAGTCACAGTTTGATGGGGGAGAGTGTAACAAGGTTACATACGAAAAGATTGTGTGACCCACCTAGTTGTATTACGCTAGATACTGGTAGATACTCGGCCTGTACCTAGATCTTTGGCTGGTAGTTTCGTGAAGACTCGACATTCAGGGACGAAAGGGGGTCCGGATACGAGGCGAGTGCAGCAGTCAAGAAATCACGCGCAAAGTAGAGAGAATAGCAAAAGCCGCAGACAAACGGGGTACATTCTTCTTGATCTTCGATTTGTGGGGCAGCCACTACATTTAATAGTCTTCACTATCAGATACAAGGTACAAACGCATGTTGTGGCCTGCATCAAACTACTTCTCATATACATGGACATGCTTTTGCTTTGGTCGAAGTGCAAAGTCTTTTCGATATGTGACAGCCAGGGTGAATCGGCACGCTGCTCCTACTACCATTGATCAAAGCCGGCTTGATGATTGTCGACCTCCGCGATATAATACTTTTAATCGATTCCTGCTACACTAAGTGCCTAGACGCAACCACTGCTGCCGCAGCATGTCTTTTCACAGCTAAGGCTTTGACAAGAACACTTGCTAATTTTTAGCATACCTCGTCGAAATTCTCACATTTCTTTCCACACTTCTGCTTCTTTCGACTGATCCATTGTCCATCCTACAACGCATCTGGCTTTCAAATCCGTAATGGGATTACACGTACCCTGGTATGAAGGGGTGGGTCACTTAACATTATGTGACCGTAAAAAGGTGTGGATTGCACAAGTGGGTGTAATCACTCAATGGTGTGGCTCACCGTAACAAGAAATCACTACATGGCGGAACTGCCAGTAGTTATGCATATTAATCAGGTTTTACTATTAAATTTGATAAATCTACAGAATTAGATGTAGGCGGCTCTGCCGCAACTAAAGCCAATAAATAAAGTTTCAATTCTGGATGAAAGAGTGTATTTGCCTTGGTTAAGGTATTGGATACTCCTAGAGTGTGCTTCTTGTATAGAACGTATGGTCGATGACCTTAGCTTAGTTTCCTCTAAGAAAAGAGCTACAACAGCCGCGCTGCACTTGGTAACAATCGTGGTCAATCTACGCCTCAGTCGTTACGACTGACCCTCTGTGAGAATAGAGCAACTCTCCTATTTGCCCCAAGGCATGCAGCTTGACCCTTAGGGTGTGCAGCACCTTGCTTCGCAAGAACCTGAAGCGATAAGCGCGCGCCTTGGATCTATTGCACTGAGCCAAACATTGGATTGATACGTCCAGCCAAACGACTGATTCATGCAGTGAGATGCATGGTCAGAGCGCGGTCAGCAATTATTTGATGGGGGAGCCTACTCCGTCAACGCTTCTCATGCCTCAAGTGGTCTTCAAGACACCCAAAGCGCACATTCGTTTTTCAAGCGGTTAATGTATCAAAGCCAATCAATGAAGGGCTTGGCCACGGTAGGAGTGATGAAATTTTAGCTGGCGTTTGCTATGTTGCTCCTAGTGCCTTTTATATCCGACAAACTTTCAATATCATAACTGAGCTATCTTGAATTAAAAGTACAAAGATTTAAAAAATCTATTATTTAACAATTTACTAGCGTAAAGATCTTAACGATTACCACTTATACTACACATATTAGATAAAATAACAATATAAAGATGTAGTAAAGGTTCACGGGGTCTTTCCGTCTAACTATAGAAAATCCGCATCTTCACGGATAATTCAAATTCACTGAGTCTGTATTGGAGACAGCGGGGATGTCGTTACACCATTCATGCAGGTCGGAACTTACCCGACAAGGAATTTCGCTACCTTAGGACCGTCAGAGTTACGGCCGCCGTTTACTGGGACTTCAATTTAATGCGCAAACATTTTTTCTTAATCTTCCAGCACCGGGCAGGTGTCAGACCCTATACATCATGTTACCATTTAGCAGAGTCCTAAGTTTTTATTAAACAGTCGCAACCCCCTATTTTGTGACACCTAAATTATTTATAATAATTTAGGTACTTTTTATCCCGAAGTTACAAAGTCATTTTGCCGAGTTCCTTCAATACAGTTTACTCATACACCTTAGTTTACTCAACCTATTCACCTGTGTCGGTTTAGGGTACGGTTTTTTATTTAAAAAGCTATTTCCTGAAAAATTAAAAATTTTTGTCACTTTTTAAAAAAAATTTAATTTAAAAATTATCCCATCAAAATTTACTTTCGTTAAATCTTTCTTAGGGGCCGTTTCACTCTATGAAATACATTTTAACATAGAAACCCTTGAATTTTCGGTGATAACGATTTTAATTCGTTATTTTTTGTTACTAATGCCAGCATTTTCTTTTCTGATATCTTCAACATATTTTACAACATATCTTTATTAACATACAGAATGTTCCACTACCGTTTTATTATAATAAAATAAAACTTGCCGCTTCGGTAAATTTCTTAAGTCTCGATACATTTTAGGCGCAAAAAAACTAGACCAATGAGCTATTACGCTTTATGGTGAAACGTTATCAAATATGCACTATCGCTCGTCCGACTTAATCAATGCAGCCGAATATATACCCCGACATCTCAAGTTTGAAACTTCGAGACGGCCTCACGACGCGACCGAGCCATACTTGATCCAAAGCGATGCTTTTGACTAATGACGCAAGAAGCTATATTACTCCGGCAAAAGAGATATGTGGGTTTAGCAAGTAAGAAAACTGGTACTTGTTGTCATGTAAATATCGTGCTTAAACACTCGTGTTGATCGTTCTGGCAAGAACCTGTTGTAACTCTCGACTGAACTGATGCAGTCGACTAAAATTTGAGCCTTCCATGTGACAGAATTGATTGGGTGACAGAAAACCATTGGATTCCTTTTGGAAATAAAATTCAAGAAGCTTTTTAAGGGCCAGATATTTGCTACGGAAGCCAAGGGTGATATCAAGATGATTTGCAGTCGCTACTCTGCAAAAAAAAGAATGACTTTAAGGGTTCTAATACATTGTCTGCAGAATTTTTGCGCTGATTGATAATAGGGTATGTGTAGCAGATTAAATAGGTGCTGTTGAACATACTTGCGAAATTAACCTCCCGCGTTTAACAGACTGCGATTTTGGATGTCACACATAAGGCAAATAAATCTTAGGGATTATTGCAAAAGGTGATACAAATAGGAAATATTCGCGAGATGAGATAAAATTGTGTTTTAAACACTAAAAATACGAGACCTGGTAAAATTACCGAGTGTAGCCATTCTTGGTTCACCGTTACATTGAAGGCGTGATCCATGGAGATGGAGGAACTCAAGCAGAAGAGATGGACTAACGACAAGGAGGCTGTGCGAGCAATCAAAAATGCCGCACTAGCACAAGGGAAGTGTGCAATCGTCATCAACAGAGGGGGGACATCTCGATTAATACAGTGTGACAGTGCAACTATTGGTTGTGAGTGGCACATTCGTAAGGTTTTGGTATGGGTAGCTACATGATGTGGTAATCTGCTTGAGAATTATGGAGGACAAATGATCCGCTCCATTTTTTGCTGCATGTGCCTGAAAGATAGACTCTGCTGTTAACCTTCCCCGTATTTTTCATAACAATGGTGTTTAAAACACAATTGTATCAAATATTTTCTATTTGGATCACCATTTCCAATAAACCCTAAATCTTAATCATATACTTTGAGGTACTCTAAGAAAAATTATCCTGGCATAAAAGTATATCTTTTATGCCAGAATAATTTTTCATTATTTTTAATTTTTCATTATTTTTAATTTCAGTGTTGAGATTTGCACTACATTCTTCGTGCGCTTGCATTCTCAAAACATGAATATTTCATGGCGCGTGTCGCGACAGTCACAGCATGCTTTTCTGTCAGATTAGGTTGTGACTCTGATCCGAATCGTACACTATGGAAAGCTATTCCCTTAACTGGTACGTTTTTTTGCTAAATGTTACAAACAAAAGGTAG